ATTTGAACGCCCAAGGTCCAAATTCATTATTTTTGCGGAAGCTTCGCCCCCGGTGGGCGGGGCCTGCGTCTGTCACCTACTTTCCCATGTTGCCTCATCTCTGCCAAATATGAACGCCCCAGGTCCAAATTTATTATTTTTGCGGAAGCCCCGTCCCCAGCGGAGCGCTCCGCCCCTGGCAGGCGGAGCTAGCTTGGGTCTCGTGTACCCAAAAGTTCGGCTCATTCCCCACTTGTTTCAACCTGTCTGAGCTGTTCCTGTTGATTTCCAAACGGTACCATATAAAATAGTGTTACAGACAAACAGACATACAAACATACAAACAAACGGACGTTTGAGGTTTATATATAGTGAGGATTTCCCCCCCTCTACTCGAACTGCGGGATGTAGCCCCAAATAAGGAACCTACCAAGGAACCTGTTCGAACCCTCGGCTCTGGACTGCATAACAGAAGTTCGGAGCATTCAAAACGAGGTGAAATGTGAGTTACCGTAATGTCCATTTATAATTACCTTTACGATTGTTCCAGTACACTGTGTTTGATGGCGAGGATAATCGAAGATACAACTGCACTCCTCAATTTTCCTAGTGATATGACACCATGGACAGTTGTGCTCTTCCATTCCTACAAAATAGCGAAATTTCAGGCCTGCTCCGATCTGGAAAAGAAAGGCTCTATCTATAGCCGAGAGGAAATGATTCTCACTTCAATACAGTAAAAACGTTAGAATGAACAAAAAAGCCCAAGCAAAATATAATTTAACGTGCACAAAGGTAGGTGAACTCGCCTTTGATTTCTCGGAATGCATTCAAACAAAGCGGAATCTTTTCCGTGGACCCATCAAAGTGGATTCCAACGTCTGCACAGAGACATCGAATATCAGGATCCCTGGACGAATGCCTGTCTTGAACCCAAATCAAACAGTTGCAAAAGCAATAGCGACCGATCGCCAGCAAAAACCACAAAGCCAGGTGTATGCTCACCTCCACACAACGCTTTCGCCGGTGAAAAACGGTCCCCGGTGAGCTTGTTCATATCGGAGCTTTTCAACCAATGATTCAACTCCATAGAACTAAAATTTCAATCCGAATCCGCCAAAGGATCTCGATATCCAAGGGGAAAACTGGCTAACTTCGGCTTCATCCCTGACCAGTTCGATATCCGAATCGTTTCGAGTCAGGCTGATCTTGCCGTCTCGGAGGTACCTCAGCACAACGCGGAACAATTCCGGATCTCTGTCTATGAAAATCGGATCACTCTGTTTCTCCTCAGCAAATACTTCGTGAGAATGGTGCGCATCCTTGACTAATCTGGAAAAATGCCAACTCCAAAAGTAGTCAAATAGAAAAATCGAGGTCTAACTCAAAAAAAAAAAAAACAGAAGCGCCCGCAGGCCCCTGCCACTTTCTCGATCACACAGGAAAACTGGAAGCTAATGTTAGAAAGCGTTGAAAATTGTGAAGATCACTCTAAGGGGTCTGTAGGAAACAAACCAGGATACCCCTCGAAATAGGTCCACAAGATGTTCGGGGATGTGGGACCACCAGACGAGATATGTATCGAGCCGCGATAAAGAACGGCTCAATTGATGGCTCAGTAGGGGGTGAAGCCTAAGTTCTGATGTTATTTAGTGTATAAAAATATTACTGACTCCAAAAGTTTACTTGCTCCTTCCAGGGTCCGCAGGCTCGTTTCAAAAAGTTGTCCACCGACATTCAATTTGACCTTTGTTGACATTCCTGAAAATAGGAAAGTATCGAGGGAAGGCCTGAAACCTGCGATCAGGGATGAATTCAAACAAAAAATTGACTAATGGCAGCCTATTTTCGTTCAGTTTCGTTCTGAAGACATGGCGGATAACTACCGATGAGGTAGGAAGTTCGAGTAAACAGGTCGATTCGTTAAAGAAGCAGAACAAGAAGAATTACTCGACAGTTTGGTGGGAGACGGAATTTACTTGGAAGAAAACAGGCGATAAGCTGGTAGGAAAAGGATGGTAAGAATAGCGCTTATCAGCATTTCTGTCGCCGTTTATAGCCTCGAAAAAGTCCTTTCCCAGTAGACCACCACCACCCCTACTGGGAATATCTGACTGGAAGGAAGGGATCAATGATTGAGCTCTGTGGATTAATACGGGGCTTGGGAATATTGAGAACTGTAAAAGCACAACGGGAGACTTACGGACGCATCGGCGCAGTCAAGGCATTGAATACAAATACAGAGCATTGAATCGCTGAACAGACAACTGTCTCACACCGATGACAGAAATATGAAAGTCAAATGCAGTCATGGTTACTGAATATCAAACTTCTGCTTCAACTTGATTCATGTCCGGACATAATCAGATCTTTAAAGGCACAGTTCACAATAACTCTGAGATGTACCCTTTTCAGGTTGAGAAGCGGAGGTTCTAAAGTAGAGAATTGCATTGGTGACGAAGGAAGCGAGAAAATCCGCATACCCCAAGTTTTTTAGAAATAATGGAAGTGGAGGTTGTACAAGATCATCGGGACAGGAATTTCATGTAAGAGGCTTTTGGACGAGATTTACCTTGCTTCCATCATGCAAAGAGCTGACTACATCAAACCATAACTGTCCAGAATTGCCTTTCACTGTTGCTATGGGGCATAACAAGTTGTCTGAATTTCCTACATTGGTTCCCTTATGGATGGTGCAGCCTCTACAAGGCCGTCAAAACTCGTCCACTAGGGGTGTGGCATTCACACGATAAATCCCTGATTCCTTATTGTGCCCTATCCAGAACGTTTTTAGCCCTTATAACGACATGTACATATGGTAGCCTCGGATGCAAGGGTAGCCTCGATTTCATACTATAGGGGCATCTCAGAAACCATTTTTATCGTGGAGTGTGCCTTTACGTCTTTGATTTTTTATTTAATTTTCTACTTTCTTTCGAATTCGATTCCTCTCTCTTTTATTCTTCATTATTTATGGTGATTATGCATGCTGAACGAACTGTTCTAGAACTTTGAAAATAGGAACCGATAAATCATAAATCTTGAACGCAACTTACACTTAAGAGAGGAGTGTGAGCCATACGATCAGTTGTGGGGTAGTGCTTCGTCGTGCAATGCAATCATCGATGCACTTTCGTGAAATCGGCCGAATTTCCATTCTCATGAACAGTCTAAAAAAACAAAACTCTTCCAACTTACACAAACCTCGGAACTCAATTAATTTCCTCCACTCACAGGTTCGAATCCCGGATCTTTATCCGCCCAAGCCGACCGAGCTTTCATCCCTCTGGGGTCGGATAATTACTACCGCACTTGTTTTGAAGGATGAAAGCACTGACTTGTACATCGACTGGCCAGCTCACGTCATTGAACAGGCCACATATTGCATTCAAAACGTTACTACGATGAAAAATGAAAAGCGGATGCGGGGCGCATCCCACAGACGGGATCGATGAGCGCCCGGTGACATTGTGCTTTATCCTTTTTATAGAGGGCTGGTAGAGAAAGGAAGAGAAATGACGTCGTATCGAACATTTCGGCACGGTAAGCCTCCCGACCGCACATGTCACTCACACGTGTCATCTGTTTCTCCATTCAAAGCATACAACATGAAGGATAAATGAACATGTTCTGAAGTCCCCGTGTGCGAATTTCAGATTCACTGGATCAGATGTGAGATCCGCCGAAGATTAGCCAGTCATTAGCGGCAGAAGACCCGAATAAATGCGCAATCAACAGTTGCAAACTCAAGAAACCGGTGATCTTCGACCGACGTTACTTAGTAGTCCGAGTTTTAAGTTGTTGAAATGACCAACTAAGTGCTGAAACACGCTCATGTAGCAATAATGCGGTCCATTCGTCAACAACGTGCACCCAAGCGTGCAAACACTACTCACTTTTCCTGAAAGGCCTCTCTTCTGACTAGCCCTGCCTGTACTGCCCCATCCTGAAAGAGTCTCACTCGCAGGCCCTACCCTTTTCCCACTTTGCACAAATGTAAGCAGCCCAATGGTAATCTCGGATACAGTCACTCTATTTGGCCATTTTGCAGTGCCCCCCCCC